TATATATATATATATATATATGTAACTACTCATAAATATTCTACAAAGCACAATTGTTACTTACTGTGGTATCTACATCTTGTACTTCCATTGAAAGAGGTGGTGTACTTTGTAACACTTGCTTTGTGGAATTTGACAATATAGACATTCTTTTAATAACCACTTAACTGTCTTTAATAGAATATGTCCCTTTAGTTCATTCTTCTAGAATCTTCTGTAAAAACAAGAATAAAAAATCTTTGATTAAAATTACAGAGTCATGTTCCATAGATAAGAACGAAAAACAAGAGGTGTTACCTATCAGTCCTATATATGTATGTTAAGTAAAAGATTTACTTTTGTGATTTCTCTGAAAAGGAATATAGACAACTTTTAAATTCATTAAGAAACTTTATTAATCTTTTTGATATTGTAACTATATTATAATTATTTCATTAATAAATAATAATAAAACACAATGAAAATTAATTCTGTTACTCATAATAATTAAATAATTGTGCATTATTCTAAATTGTTTAAATTTTACATAATTTTATATAAATATCTATAATAAATAAATAAATAAATAATAAATGTATATATTTACAACTTAATTTAATCAAGTATCTTACAAATACATTATATCCTATTTATATATATTAACATTTGCTTTTTTTTATTACATATATGAGAATTTAATATGGGAAAACCTTAAACTGATATCTTATGAATCTTATATAACTGACATCTAGTGCAGAGATTATTCTGAATGATACATTAAATGTTCTTGGGAGTAAATAAAAATTGTAAACTGATTTCTAAATTGTTTGGTAAATATATTTCTTATATTAACATATTTGATTATTCCTTAATACTGTGTATAAATAAATAAATAAATAAATAAATTTTTAAATATTTATATTCACAATATTAAGTACATTGTTACGAGTAATATATATAAAAATTTTAAGTTCAGATAAAGAAATTAATGTACTTTCTTAACTTATAAAATTAGTAAATTACATAATTTATTATGTATGTATATAAACATAATTTTCTATAGATATGTAGAAAGTTTTATCTCAGTAAGGTAGAATTTGATATTAAAAAAATTATAAAAAATTTTTATTATAAAATATATACTTATCACTTTTTTTTATATATAATAATTTTTTAATTTTACGCAGATATCAATAAAAATAATATTTATATCAATTTTTATTGTATTTAAAAATATAATTTTATTTTTTTTATATTGTGTAAAATCATATTTGCATATAAATTAATAGGAATATATAATTTCAATTTATCATTATTTTAATTAATTCATAAGTCTTTGAAATATATTTTGACAATAGTCATCAGCATTTCAGACTTTTATAATAATTTTTCATGTATGAATAATGAGAATGACGATATAAATGTATATTTTATCCTATTACTACAAACGTACATATCGGTTAGAATATCTAGTTTCACAAATAAAATTTTTTTCTCGTATAATCACATCGATGATTGCGTAGTCTAATTTTTTAAATTTTAACTAACAAAAATTTAACATGTATAAATGCATCAACGACATTAGTAAACTTATGTAATATGTATCATTACTAAATTATTAAACAAACTGTTTAAATATTATTACAATTTAGTAGAAAAGAGGATATTTTTAACAATCCATATAACGTAATATAATTTATATACGTGCATTAATAAAAGAAGAAGTTATATTTTTCAAATATACGCATAAATTAATATGACAGAATGCATATTCAATTAATTAGATTTGTATTGCAAAAGATTTGCTTTTATATGCGACTGAGTGCAGTACGTGTTATTTTTATATTCTGTATTTATGTATGCTTCGCATACGTTGTATTTCTTTTAAAAACATTTATAATTGTAATTAATCTTACATCATTTTACAAAATACAAAGTGAAAGATGCTATTTTAGAAACAGAGTATGTAGTAATATATGAATATAAGCAGTAAAAATCTTGTACCTTTATTAGATGAGTACGAAAATAGCCGACTGATTTGTCACGAGGATTCTGTTGTTTGAAAAAATAATGAACACGAATCGGAGCATCCAGTACCGATTAAAATACTTTACATTATTACATAGACGCCACTGATGTCTGATACGTCATGCATTAAATCTTCCTTCAATGATGTTATGTGCGCAACTGATACCAAACTGTAGCTATATCACAATATTACTTTTACTAGGCACATACGTAATAACACTATGAGACACACACTAATATGAATTTATACGTACAAGCTTATCAAGTCGTTCAATTAGAATGGAACAATACTTTTACATGTGACCTTCTGATGTATTCGGTTATACTTTCCAGATGGCGGTATCAAACATTGAATAGAGGTTTAAATTTTTGTCATTTAAACTATTTATAAATTTAAATATATATATTTTTGTTAGATGCTATAGATTAAAATAACGCTAATTTACGTTAAAGTTATTTAAATTTGATTTAGGCGAAGAAAGTTTATTCGTTTATTAAATTGCGTCTGAATTTAATACAGTTTCATGTAGTCGAACATTTGATTATATTTGTCAATTTGCGTTAATTATATAATAAAATTAATTAATTATTAATTTTGCTTTTAAATTCTATTTTTGAACGGTTTTGATGATTACAAAATTTAAATATTTATTATTGTAAGAAACATTATTTTAGAGGTATATATTATCTTCAAACCGATCATAAAATGCAAAATTCATTTTAAATCTTTTACTTATTAACTATTATTTATTTAAATAAATTGTAATTTCAAAGAACACTAAATATGAAGATATAGAAGGAAAACAGGGTTGCTTAAGTAGGGACCTGTTATATGAGGTTTCTTTACATGTACGTTAGCGACACCTAGGCAATTTTTATAGGAAAGTAATGTCTGTAGTATCGATATTAATTATTTTTTTAATTTATAATTGTATTACATATGTTAAATGCTCGTAAAATGAAATGGCTTATTTTTGTAAAATTATATAATAAACGCGATAATAATAACGTCTATTTTAAACTTTCCTTGATATTAATATATCAAGAATTAATATATTAAAATAGAATTTATGATAAGCATTTTTGCATTAATGTCTTGAGATTAAATTCAGAATGTATACAGGTATTGTACTGACACTGTAGTGCAAGTATTAACCCTATTTTGATTTATGTGCATTAATTCCAAATATTGCCGCGTTGGCGCTACATGATATAAAATTTTAGCGGGAGTTAATCGGTTAGGACGACTAATTGTTCATTTGTCAATTTTTCCAGTATTTTGAAGCGTTTGTTATCTCAAGAAATTAAATATCTTCGATCAGCGGAAGAATTTCAACCGTTTGTTTCAATGATACACGGATACAGATGAGTTATTCTGTTTTCTGTACATAATCTATTCTCTCCTGACTTCGCATCTACCAGGGTTATGTTCACCACTTTAATACGCAAAATCAAATATCATACGTATAATAATTTTGCTAATGATTTTGTATAAATATACAAGCTGTACTATTATTAATTTAAGAATATTAATTCAAAGACCGTAAGTTTTAATTTTTAATTTATCTAAATGTACAAAATATTAATATTAAAAACTAATAGTATTAATTTTTTATATTTTTATTTATTTTATACTTTGTACATATTTTTAAAACATTCTAAAGGGTCTTGAATTATTTGTGAACAATTAAATGGATCGTTACAAATAAAAATGAAGCAAAGTAATCAAGTTTATCTGGAGAAACAGAATTTAATCTTCTCGTTGTTCTGAAAATTTCAGTATTTCGTATTCAAACCTCCGGAGATCAATGTTTTGTAGAGGGGAACAAGCTGGAAAATAGAGGTTAAAGAAAGATAGCACGGTAGACGTTACGTCGTTGACGAGCCCCGTAGATCCGGTCTGTTATCACTGGAATTTTAAAAGGCCGCCTCCTCGTCAACTTGGATTTATTCGAATTAAAACCCTGCAGGGCCGCACGCCGTCTGTCTGCCTGATAAAATTCTTCTTCGTGAACAGGAACGGTCACTATGCTTCTCGTCGGCTCTCCGAAATTAAATTTCGAAAAAGGATTCCAATAGCAATGGATCGAATTCATTAAATTAAAAAGAAGTCATAAAATTCATAATTTCCAAATGGGAAATTCGACGAATTGTCAAGTTATCCCACGATGAAAATTACATTGGATTAAGTTCAAAGTTTAATCTCATTTTTCTTTTACTACCGAATAAAATCGATTTCAATGATAGTCTTGAGTATTCATCGATACCGATAATAAATATCCAAGGAATTGCGATTGTAAAGTGTTAGATACGTTATCAGTTAACGGACTTCTCGGAGATACGCGTTTATAGTATTCTGTAGTCGACTACCGACATTGAAATTGCATTATAGAAGTTGGATCAGGCATTTAAAGTCGAACAAACCCGTAGCAACCACGACGATTGATTTTCAACGGGAACACGCGTGTAGGTAGATGAAAAAAGGAATATACATGAACGTTTGACGTACAGCAAGATTAATTCGATAACTATGGGAAATTCATAGGAGTCTTGCTTTAAAAAATAAAACGTCCGAACGTAGAGGTCTTTAAGAAATATTTATTACTGCATATTCGAATGTAAATTTATTTCAATTAAAGTAGAAAGGGTCTAACGCAATTATAAGAATTCTTTATCAATTACATCTGTTTTATACATTGTTTTAATAACAAAAATTTGTGAGAAGATGTTTTTAACTTTTACAAATTCTCTTCTCTATTGAGTTTAAATATTCGTTTTAAAACAAATTTTCAAGTTCCTCATATCGTCCGCAGTATTTCATACTTTATCGATTACGATAATTTCATCGCGATGAAAGTATTTACGAAACAACAATAAAAATTTCCGAAACGACTCCACTAAACGTAACACACGTTTTCTACATCACTATAATTCCGCTATAAATGTCACGATATTCTTCCTTAGAAAAGAGCAAATCAAAACCTAGAAGTAGTCTCATTCCACCACTCTCTAAATTCTTATCTTTCGCATTAAATTCCTCTTTAATTCCATTTCAGTTCCATCCCGACTTCTTCGCCACCTCCATCTCAGTCTTCACGATGCCACTGGACTGTCGCTGAAAAATTGGATTTATCTCGAATCGGAGGATTTCCACGGATGGTCAGAGAACGTGGGGCACCTTTTCGAGCGTGTCCTTACCTGGTGGTTCGGCGTCTACGCCGGACTTTGCTTTATGCGGACACTTTATGCCCCCGATTGCGAACGACACCGGAACGCTCTCAAGTCCTCGGCACCGATCGGGGATCCTTTTCCGATCGCAAAACAACGAGAGCGGTTTTAATTTAAGGTTCCGAGAAGGCCGTGGAACTGCGTTTCCTTCGTTGGGGTCTACGAGCTGGCGGCACGTTTTAATAATCGTGTTCTAGACGACGAGCATTCTCGTAAACCAGATCCGTTTTTATGCATGAATCTTATCGGAAAGCCCCCTTTTGCCTGCTGACTTATGGTAGACTCTTCTCATCTCGTGCAAAACGAATGTGTTCATCGGCTGATTGAAAATTTAAATTGAACATCGACTGATATCGATTGTTCATCGTACGAAAATATAAACGTTCGTCGAGTCGCTTAGATGAAATAAAGGGTCTTGAATTATTTGTGAACAATTAAATGGATCGTTACAAATAAAAATGAAGCAAAGTAATCAAGTTTATCTGGAGAAACAGAATTTAATCTTCTCGTTGTTCTGAAAATTTCAGTATTTCGTATTCAAACCTCCGGAGATCAATGTTTTGTAGAGGGGAACAAGCTGGAAAATAGAGGTTAAAGAAAGATAGCACGGTAGACGTTACGTCGTTGACGAGCCCCGTAGATCCGGTCTGTTATCACTGGAATTTTAAAAGGCCGCCTCCTCGTCAACTTGGATTTATTCGAATTAAAACCCTGCAGGGCCGCACGCCGTCTGTCTGCCTGATAAAATTCTTCTTCGTGAACAGGAACGGTCACTATGCTTCTCGTCGGCTCTCCGAAATTAAATTTCGAAAAAGGATTCCAATAGCAATGGATCGAATTCATTAAATTAAAAAGAAGTCATAAAATTCATAATTTCCAAATGGGAAATTCGACGAATTGTCAAGTTATCCCACGATGAAAATTACATTGGATTAAGTTCAAAGTTTAATCTCATTTTTCTTTTACTACCGAATAAAATCGATTTCAATGATAGTCTTGAGTATTCATCGATACCGATAATAAATATCCAAGGAATTGCGATTGTAAAGTGTTAGATACGTTATCAGTTAACGGACTTCTCGGAGATACGCGTTTATAGTATTCTGTAGTCGACTACCGACATTGAAATTGCATTATAGAAGTTGGATCAGGCATTTAAAGTCGAACAAACCCGTAGCAACCACGACGATTGATTTTCAACGGGAACACGCGTGTAGGTAGATGAAAAAAGGAATATACATGAACGTTTGACGTACAGCAAGATTAATTCGATAACTATGGGAAATTCATAGGAGTCTTGCTTTAAAAAATAAAACGTCCGAACGTAGAGGTCTTTAAGAAATATTTATTACTGCATATTCGAATGTAAATTTATTTCAATTAAAGTAGAAAGGGTCTAACGCAATTATAAGAATTCTTTATCAATTACATCTGTTTTATACATTGTTTTAATAACAAAAATTTGTGAGAAGATGTTTTTAACTTTTACAAATTCTCTTCTCTATTGAGTTTAAATATTCGTTTTAAAACAAATTTTCAAGTTCCTCATATCGTCCGCAGTATTTCATACTTTATCGATTACGATAATTTCATCGCGATGAAAGTATTTACGAAACAACAATAAAAATTTCCGAAACGACTCCACTAAACGTAACACACGTTTTCTACATCACTATAATTCCGCTATAAATGTCACGATATTCTTCCTTAGAAAAGAGCAAATCAAAACCTAGAAGTAGTCTCATTCCACCACTCTCTAAATTCTTATCTTTCGCATTAAATTCCTCTTTAATTCCATTTCAGTTCCATCCCGACTTCTTCGCCACCTCCATCTCAGTCTTCACGATGCCACTGGACTGTCGCTGAAAAATTGGATTTATCTCGAATCGGAGGATTTCCACGGATGGTCAGAGAACGTGGGGCACCTTTTCGAGCGTGTCCTTACCTGGTGGTTCGGCGTCTACGCCGGACTTTGCTTTATGCGGACACTTTATGCCCCCGATTGCGAACGACACCGGAACGCTCTCAAGTCCTCGGCACCGATCGGGGATCCTTTTCCGATCGCAAAACAACGAGAGCGGT